ATCGGCGGACTATATCCTATAGCTACCATATAACTGAACGATTGGAAATGCCATAACTTTGTTGTTGTTAAAGCTAGGAAGTTCGGATTTTTTATGAGTATTAAGAATGCATCATATGAATAATTTTGGAGAATATAATTTACAGAGTATTCTGCAAGGGTATATCAACTTCGGCTCCGCCCGAAGTTAGCTTTCCTTTCTTGTTTTAGTTTTTTATCGCTCAAAAAATAAAATTTACCAAGTCAACCTGGACTTGATTGTATAGGTTCTCTTGTTACGTTCACAAAAAATGTACTAGTTTTGTGTAGTTTTTAGTAAGTCAAACTTCATCAAAATATATTACTGTTTTAATAGTAAAAATAATATCTTTTATAGTTTATATGGTAGTTTAAGGACACAAAATTAAATCTCCCGCCTAAAAGCCCAAAAATGCAATCCCAATTAAAACAATTTTATATTTTATATATATACAAAATAATCCTTTTTATTTAAAATCATGCTTATAATAAGTACTTAATGGCTTAATCTGTAGATAAAATAATTGCTATGTGTTTATATCTTTAATACTTAAGATAATCTAATGGTAACTTATACTAAAACATGAAATACTCTTTTCTATTAGAAACTAGCTTAATAATAATAAATTAATTTTAGGTATATATTTTAGTTTTAGTAATAAGGTAAAGGAAATATGGAATTTATTTATTTATCAGTACTTGTAAGTGAGCGCCTTCGTTGGTGAGATGTAAAACAAGGAGAGGACGCCTGGTAAGTCCGTGAAAATCCTGACGACGACACTGCAACCCGGCCAAATTATCCAACTTCCTTGCCAATGCTGATCCTGATCTTCCAGCCGCATTCCTGTGTTTTCGTTTTTAATTTAGACTTAAATTATATATTTCAAATAAAGATTTTTATGACAACTAATTGTGCACAACTTTTACTGTGGGTGGGACCTACTAATTGATAGATCTTTCATCTTTTGTTTATAGTTTCTTAAACTATATTCGTCTTAAAACTGTAATAGCTTTCTTAATTAATAAGGCCATTACCCTTTAGTGTTGACTGTGGTCACAAATTTATCATTGACAATGTTCTGCTCTGACCCTTGAAAAATATTTTTTGAATTCGTCATAATATTTCCAATTGGCTGCCATTCCAAAAAGGACTATCCTCCTGAAATCGATTGTGTAGGCTGTCAGCTACACAGAACAGTCATTCTTTTCGCTGTGCGTCTTCATTTGGCAAAGCTACAACAAAAAAACCCTTAAAAAATGCGTTTTAAATATATGTTTTTAATAGCCAAAATCCAAAAAAAAAAGTTCATTTTTTCAGTTTTTTTATCAAAACCCTTGGAAATAATGGTCAGATCTTGGAATGTCATACCTCGTTGAATTCGTTACAAAATTTCCAATCGAATGGTATACTCAGCTCAAAACTTTATTTTTTGGCCATATTTGGAAAAAAATCAAGTGTTACCCCTTATCAAAAATGCGAAAATCGGTCAAAAAATGAAATTTACTAAAACCTCCTGGAATCGATTGTATAGGTTGTCAGCTACACAGAACAGTCATTCTTTTCGCTGTACGTCTTATTTTGGCAAAGCTACAACGAAAAAACCCCTAAAATATGAGTTTTGAAATATAGGTTTTTAAATGCCAAAATCCAGAAAAAATCAGCTCATTTTTTCAGTTTTTCAAAACTCTTGGAAATAATGGTCAGATCAGATGGAATGACATACTTCGTTGAATTCAGTAAAAAATTTCCAACAAAATAGCGTTTACAGAAAAAAAATATGATGCCTACCCCTAATCAAAAATATTAGCGCCAAAATCCGGCAAAAATTAGCACCATTTTGTTCTGGTTTTTTAACCTAAGCCCTGGAAGCCCTGGTCGCGATTTTCCGCGTCCGACCGCTGTCCACGCCCCTCCGCCGCCACTCGAATCGGGATCTGGTGGCGGCAAGAACTATCGTCCGGCAGATGGTGGCCCCACGGCAGAGGATGCGCCCGGACAATTCAGTGTCCAGAGTCTGATCGATGCCATCATGAAGCATGAGATCAATCGCGCCAATGACGCCATTGCAGGTCCGGGTCGCGAGTTTTTGCGTCCGACCTTCGTCCACGCCTCTTCGCCGCCACGCGAGTCGGGATCTGGAGGCGGCAGGAACTATCGTCCGGCATATGCTGGCCCCAGGACAGAGGATGCGCCCGGACAACTGAGTGCCCAGAGTTTGATCGATGCCATCATCAAGCATGAGATGAGCCGCAGGAACGACGCCATTGCAGGTCCGCATCCGACCTTCGTCCACGCCCTTTCGCCGTCACGCGGATCGATGGCGGCACCCGATCCTCGCCAGCCAACGCGCTCCATCCGATGTACCTGCGCGACCATCACCAGCCGCACGAGGGTGGGGCGGTGTCGCTGCTTGCGGAAAAGAAAAATGGCAAGCCCAGATCGTCGGGTTCGCAGATTTTGATCAGGAGCGGATTTCGGCGACAGCCGCAGTAGCTGTCCAACAACAACAACAGCATCAATAGTCTCTAACCTGGAATGGCATATCTCATTGAATTTGTTACTACATTTCCAACAAATTAGGCTTACAAAAAAAAATATTATTTAAAAAAATGTTCAAAATAAATAAAAAGCTGGCAAAAATCAGATCGATTTTTTGGTTTTTTAATCAAAATTCTGGGAAATATTGGTCGGTTGTTGGAATGGCATACCTCGTTAAATTTGGTACAAAATGTCTAACAAAGTGGCGTTAAAATATCATTAAACGAATTTTTTTTTGGAAAATATAAGGGGAATATTTCGGCCAAAATCCGGCTAAAATCAGCTTCGTTGAATTTGTAATATAACTTCCATTCATATTAATATTTGTTGTGTGCCTTAAAAAACTTGATATACGAATAGAATTCCTATTCCCTGCAATACTTTATCACAATCTTACCAAACAGTTATACAATTTTCGGCAGTCGTTTTGCCAGATAAAGCAATCAGTGGTTTATCGCCCAACACTAAGTGCTAAAGTAGCGGCACATACACTCCATCCGTGGATTTCAGAACTGAAAAAGCAAAACAAGAAAGGCGACGTCAGTCCGTCAAGTCGACGGTCTCCGGATAGAAGTGAGATTAGTGATAACCCCTGTTATCGGGAGCAGCGTAGCGCAGATACTTTGCTTGCTGCTGAAATACTTCATTTTTGAATACCAAACAAGAAGCAAATTTTCTTTATTTTTTCATTTATTTTGTAACGTTTTTGTTTAATTGCTATTTAACTTAAAATTCGCCATAATCTAAATTGTTTTCACTTCATTTTATTTTACTATATAAAAATACGCACATAATGTTGCAATGGAAGCATAAATAGGCATGTTTCAGCATTAACAAAATTCATGTACAATTGTGTTCATTTCTAATTTGTTGTTTTGTCTTTTTCGTTGTTTTTTTTTTATTATTTTGTATTTGTCGTTGCCAGGGCATCTATGAAAAAAATATGTTATATGATTATATAAATAACGAACAAAGTATATATAAATAGTATATAATTCAACTGGCATTACATTTCTTGTTCTTCTTGGTTTATCGATCATTTAAGAGTACTCTTCATATCATCGTTCACCACAAATAGTTTAGTTAACTTATTTTTTCTTATGAGGAAGACGACTTGGATAAATGTTAAGTGTAGGGTTTTATTCCGATAAGGCCACACTTGCTTCATGCGGGGCACAGTTTTTTTTAGTTTGTTTTTCTTTGTTTGTTGTACAAAGGGAAGAACGAGTTTAAAAAAAAATAATAATAATAATCATCATGATGATTAAGTTAGGATTTTTAGAAATTAAATAGAGCAAAAAAACAGTGTACTATATAATTATGTTTAAATATAGGCATTATAGTAAACCTTTGCACGCTGCCGTAACTCTCCATTGTGATCAAGTGTTTGGGGAGTAGGAGTAAAATCAAATCGAAAATAAGATAAAAGACTTTAAAATAATAATAAATAATTAATATGCCTTTTGCACTCTGTCTCTGCGTTTCCTTTTCCATTTTCACAAGACTATACATAATTTGTGTTCGTGTATATATAATTTATATATAATATTAATGATAAGGCACTTTGAGAATTATTTACCCCCCTCGTGCGCGGTGCACACAAATTGATAAACACGCGTGGAATTTGCTCTTTCCTCGCCTGGGTTTTTTTTTTGTTTAAGTCATGCTTAAATTTGTTGCTGCTGTTCTTGTTGTTGGACGTTGCATAAATATAATACGCCGAGTGAAAGGGTAATAATAAATAGGAGTAATTAAATATTTGATTTTGTTTGATTTGAATTGCAGTTCAGCAAATTTTTCGATATACATTATTTGCATAAAAAAAAGGTCTCCATAGGTGTAAGCTAATGTCACTGTATACAGGTTACAGATGTATGTGTATATTTTTATATATATAGTTTGTATAGGGCAAAAAGTGTGTACAAAAATAATTTAAATATTTTCCTTAAGTTTTGCGCATTTGCATTTTGTATTTTGTTTGCTCAGTTTTTTTTTTCGCTTAATTTTACATGTCTAACACTGTACTCAGTTTGTTTTGATTTGTTTTTCCGCTTTTCGGCCTTTTCCAAACCATTTTTTTCGTATTCCGGCATATACAAAGATCGACAATCGGTATTCCCTACATAAATAGTTTAAATAGGCTTTTTTTGTTAAGACTTTTTCTTTGTTTTTTCCGTTTTTTTTATTACATATGCATGTACTTCAAAATCATCGGTGTAAGCATAATAATTATAATATGGTTTTTATATAAATTGTATATAAATTAAGGGTTTCTCTCATAACACTAAAAATTATATAACTGCACCCAAAATAGAAGAAATCAAGAAAAAAGTTTTAAAATAAATTAAATAAAAATAATATATAATAAACAAAATGATCTGTCGCATATACCATATAAAAAACATAAAATTATCAATGGTCAAAATATATGTGTGTGTGTGTGTCTGAGTGTGTCCATGTGTTGTTTTCATAAATTATTAACATTAATTGCATATAAAATATATCTGGTATGTTTTATGTAAATAGACGTGAAAATAAATTATGGTGTTTAAAAATCAGCATTTCCATTTCATAGATCGATTTAAACAGTACAAAGAATCGTAGTCATTCAAACAAAAATAAAGGTCAAATCAATGACAGAATTCCATTATAAACTTCTTCTCAAGACGAAAAATTGGTTGTTGCTCGTTGGTTGTTGTTGGTGTTTGTTTGTTGTTGTGATTGGTTGCACGAATTGCAGAGGTATATCATCAATAATATTCATATCATCCAAGATCATCATCATCTAACCGTAATCGTAATGTAATTGTTAAATATAATTTAAAAACTTTATCAAAATATTAACTCTCGTATGTACACAACGTTCTCTATTACATAAATTTAGCAAAAAATAATAAATTAAAGAATTTCCTTAGCTCCGTTTCTGTCCGTCTATCATTATCATCTGGATTGATTGATTGATTGATTGGCTTGGATTGGAAGACATCGTACCAACTCTCTACTATCTCTCTCTCTCCATCCATATAAAGGGATATATACAGGTGCTGGCCATATGTATATATACCGATAATCAAATTTAACATAAGACTAATTTAAAGTGCGTGGCATATAAATATTGAACAAAAGCGACAGGTGTGCAGGGATTCTAATGGGTGCACTGCAGTAGGTCCTATAATAAATGCAGGAACGAATATATATATTCACGTTCATGGTTGGCCGTTTGTTGATTTTGATTTGAGCAACATTCGCGGAAGATTCCAAATAGTCCATCATTTCGTCGGTCTCTCTTTCTTGTCCAGTTTTAAGAATGTATCGTTTTTATCTTTCACTTTTTTTAGTTTTTAGTGTTTAGTTTTTAGTTTTTAAGATCATCGTTTGCTTGGATTGTTTGTTTGTCAGTTACGTATCTATCTACCTAATCGTCCCGTCGTCTACGGTTCGGTTCTTCTCATATACGATAACGATTGACTGTCACAGCATGAGAGAAATCATATCAAAGATCGTTTCACATTTAAGGGGAGGGATGTGTGTGTGTGTGTGCTTGGCAGTGGCCAGCTTTTTCGGTGGCGTATACTTGATATACACTTGTGCTGCATTAAGCGCCCCGGAAATCCAGTTGCCTTTTTGGGGATTTCTGTTTTGGATTTTTTGATTTTAGATTGCGGGAGCTCGTTCCAGTTTCCATGGATTGGTCGTTACTGAGATTTTGTCAAGGATGCTGTTGTTGCTGATGGAGGGATGCTTTGATGGGCGTGAGGGGATGTTGGATGGGGTTTTCAATTTTGGGGACGGCTGCTGCCTCGCTCCTCCTTAGAGTCCCAAATTGGACTGCTGCTGGTAGGCCTCCACCGCGGAACTCAGACGATTGAACACCGGCAACCTGGGCGTCTCCTCTTGGTGCATCGGTGTGCTAACGCTCTTCTGCAGCAGCTGCTTGCCATTGTTATTGCCTGCTCCAGATCCACTTACCACGTCGTACGGCGGCGGCGTGTGCACCGGCGAAATGGGTACATTGGGGCTCTCGGGCGGCGTGGCGGGTCCATGGTGTCCCATACCACCCATGCCCTGTCCCATGGCCATGCCCTGGCCCATTCCCATGCCCATTGCCATGCCGAGGCCCAATCCAGAGGCCGAGGATGTGGACGAGGCCGAACTGTTGCTCGTGGCGCCGTTGGAGCCCATGTAGCCCTGCTGCAACGGCAATGCGTCGTGGAACGGGAAGCTGGTCAGCGAGTTGGTGGGACTGAGCGACAGCGAGCCGGTGGGTGATTCCCGGTCCGATCCCGTGCTCATGCTCAGCGGTGGGCTCAGCGGCAGATAGAACTGGCTGCTGTTGTTGCTGATGTTGATGCTGCTGTTGCCGCTGCCGCTGCTGCTGTTGCTGTTGTTGCTATTGCTGTTTTGGTTGTTGTTCTTCGACGGGAAGTTCGGCGACGACTGCTGCTGCTGATTCTGCGACTGGGACTGCGACTGGGAGGAAGACTTGGCTGCCTGGGCTGCCTGCTGGGCACGGGCCTCATCCGCATTGTGTACAAAGTGGCAGCGCGGTCCGTACGGACAGAAGCCCACGCTGTGGAAGGTGCGACAGTACTCCGTCTTGTACTTGGGATGCCGCTGCAAGTTGCGCAGCTCGTGATATCCGTGGGCAAACTGACACTTCTCACCGTACTTGCACTCTCCGGCTTCCTCGAACGGACGGCACAGCTCCGTCTTGTACCTTCAAATTAAAAGTTCAAAGAATTAGTTTGAGTTCTCACTGAAGGCTATCACTAAATGTCCTATTTTTTTTGGAGAAACTATCGATGTCCTATCTTTAGAAGCAACTCAATCACTCATCATCCTGCAAGGCAACATTTTCTATTATTTTTCCGTTAGTTTTAAAAAGCACTTGTAGTTGTTTTTTGACCCCTACTTTTTCCAAAAATATTTGAGGAGAAAAGAAAAATGTTTCAAAAAAGCTTTTGCATTATTTACTACAATTATTTTATTTGAATACAAATTCGATTCATTTTAAGTGAATTAGAATTGAATCACCGTAAATGTTTAAATTTAATCAGTACATATTTCCATTAATTCTGTTAAATAAATTTGTAAATATTTCATACCAATTTTTAGTTTATTTGGTATATCAATTCCCCAGTTTAATTGGGTAAACTAAGTAAATAATATACAAAATAAATTAGTATACCTATATACACTTCACTTTGCGGGAAATTAGATTCACAAATCCCAAGAAAATATTTATTGTGTGAAAACCCCTTCCTGTAATCTATAAATTTTAAGCTCTTGTAAGGGGTTTGGTTTGGTTCATGACCATGGATGGATAGCCCAATCTTTCCTGTTCCCTAACCCTTTGAATTTAGGGTATTTCCCTTACCTGGAGGTATTCATCGGCTGCTGTGGCAGTGGCTCCGACTGCGTTCGCTCCAGCTTGCGGTGCAGGTTCATGTTGCCCAGGCTCTCGATGATGGTCACCAGAGTGGCCACCGGTTGCTGTTGCTGTTGTTGCTGCTGCTGGATGAGCTGATGGCGCTGCTGGGCCGGCTGTGAAATGGTGCGTGTGAGGGCGCCATGGAGGCGATGTGGCTGCTGGTGCTGCTGCTCCATGCTGCTGTTGTCCAGGACGAGCTCCACTTGCTGCTGCTGCTGCTGTTGCTGCTGGAGATGATCGCGATCGCGGTCGCTGGCCACCTGTGAATGCAGAAGGCGAAAAACCAAAATCAATTTCTGTGTCTCTCGGGCGTATACGTAACTAGCGAATATTTCGCAAAAAATCCAAAAAAAGAGAGGAGAGAAGGAGAGAGGGAGACGTAAAAAGTAGCGCGCCGCCGAAAACAAAGCCAAAAAAGCAAAAGCAGCACAAAGCCAAAAGCCAAGCTTACTTTTACTTTTAACTTGACCTATAAGCAAAAACAGAAAAAAACCCAACCAACACGGCAGAGCTAGACGACTGAGAAATATTGCAAAAGGCACACAAAAATGTTATAATTTTCCAGACATTAAACAAGCGCCAAGAAAAACCAGCTACCTCTCTTTTTTTAACCCCCCCCCTTCCCCTTTCCTAGCTATTAGCCACTATTTCAGCCCCCCCCTTTGCCCCTTTTTTACCACTCTTTTTAACCCCCCCCTTTTCGTGTCGTCATCAGTTTCGGTTTTGTTTCTTTTTTTGGGAACGCAACGTCCGACTTGGTCTGTTCATTTTCGTGCGATGCTGTAACATGTTATGCAACCAGTTAACACACACACACAGAGACACGCACACTCGGGCACTTAGCCCACTCCATCAAGCGTGGCCACAACTAACAACAACCACTACCAATTACATATGTATAGAGCTCAAGTTCAAGCCAACAACACGAAAGGCAAGCAGCAGGCAAGCAGAAAAGCTGAAGCTCAAAAAACCGAAGCTCAAAAGCCGGAGCTACGAAAAAGACAACAACAAGATTTTGGGGCCCAACCAGTAATCAACCGCCTCACCACCACCATCCCCCCGTAAGTCCCCCCTTCCTTCCCTCCTTCCCTAAAACCCAACTCAATTTGCCACTCTCCGCAGACGAAAAACTGGTTGGCTTGCTCAACAAGTGCGAAAGAAAACGAGATATAGAGGGTGTGCGGCGATTCCAAAAGAGTGGAAGAGGGACAGCACGAGACGGTGGCACATGCGCACTGACTAAAAACAGGGTTTCCAGGTTGATTTTGAAAAAAAAAATCAAAAAAAGGAACTAAGTAACTATACAAATAGATAATGGCAATATAATTAGGGACTGTAAATGTAACACATAGATCCCAAAATACATTTTGTATTTCCAAAACTTTTGAATAAAAAGGGATTGATTTATAAAACTTTAACTTCAACTTTATAACTAAAACAAATAGAATTTAAATGTTATACTATAAACTTAAGATATGAATAAAAGGTTTGTTTTAAAAACCAATCAAGCAGCTTCCAAAGCCTTATCTGCAAACTCACAACTATTGGTTGTTACTGTAGAGGAAAAATAATCTTTATTGACCCCGAGTCACAGGATTTAGATTTTTTCTGCTCAACTCACAGATGCTCAACTGTGTATACAGACCGAACTTGTGATTACAGAACGATATACCCCACTTAGAGCTTCGTTGTCTCAACAGAATGGGATGGGGATGTCAAGACACATAAAAAGTCAGCCAGACAGATGAGGCACATAACAAATAAATATTTATGTACATATGCACTTCATTTAGGTTATCTTTGCTCCGATTTCAACAACACAAATTCCTTGAATTTTCATGAGTAATTCCAGAGCAAGCCGAAACAAACGAAACAAAACAATTTAAATGTTCAATTAATTAATTTGCCTGTCCAATCAGTTTAGAAGCCATATACCCGACGTTCTTTTTGTCGATCGCTTATCTTATCATTCGTCCCATTTGGCATCGTGTCTTGATTTCTGCTTTACTATTATTTCACCATTGGCATTGACATTGAAGGGTAAGTACCACCTTTCTACTGGCGAACAAAGTTTGGACCCATGACTGGGTAAGGTAAAAATTACACCATAATTTCTAAGTGCTCTTTTCAATACTAGACAAACACAAGTGCCGTAAGCCAAGTTACGACACTTTTTAGTTTGTTTTTAGTAGCTTGTTCTATTAAAAACTAATTGAAGTTAATGAAGGCTTTAAAACAGATAGAAATAAACCTGGCTTTCAGGTTTTAACAAAATGTATAATGGAAGCAGTTCCCAGGTATGAAGCTACTTTATATAAAACTCTGGATTTTCCTCTCGTTAAAAAAACGGAACTTCCTGGACTGCATCGTTGATAAGTCAGCTGACATTGACGTCCACCTGGCAACCCTGTTTCTTAGTTTCCCAGTTTCAGTTTCAATTTCAGTCGGTAACTTTGCGCAGACAGCAGAAAAAAGGAGACAAAAACAAGAAAAATTAAAAACATTAACGAGCAAGCGCAACAAGTTTAGCAAACCTTTGGCGCTGTTTTCTTTTTATTTTTTTTTTTTTTCTTTTTTGACCAACTTCAACGCTTACGGCATCGCTAAGACTGCGGATACGGTTACTGCCTCCTGCTCAAGCTTTTGATTTTGCTTTTGCCTTTGGCTTGCACCAAGTACCATAAATAAGGTCCAAGTTTATGCCTGGTAATTTACGATTTCATCATTTCAAAACCTCATAAAATCACAGAGAGGGACACCCTTGAAAAGAATTACTCATATGCATTGGCAAATATACAATAGTTAGTACACGTTGCAACCTAAGAGTATCATGATATAAAACGCCGATTTAATAATTATTTACTTGTCTTAATCTTAATTAAGGGTTATGCAACTCTATTATCTACATTTAACATTTGGATAGTCCGAATGGTACCATCAGTAATTAACAATATACAGGCTTGTGGTATAAACTTTAAGAATCCTAAGGTCATTTTCTCTATGCCTTGCTTTAATTTGCATCTATCTATTACATTGAAAGATCAAACTCAAAGGTAAATATAATTGGATTATGTTGGGCACTAAACCGAACGAGTTTTATTGACCATTAGTTAGTCGTAGTCTTTTTAATTCTCGAAATCCCTCTTACCAGATGGTAATTCCACTTAAGCAAAGATACAATATAATTACTTTAATTTTTTTATTGACCTCTTGACCAATAACAAAACAGTTATTAATCGAAAATGAACTGATCTTTTGAAATTTGTAATTTATCCTTTAATATGCGTTTGAGTCAATCGAAAGTAAAACTACAATATAACCCAAATTCCCGATTCAAACTCTGTCCGAAAGTGAAAATAGGAATAAGTGATGAAATCGCACTTCCGCAACGAAAAGCCCCAAAGATAACCTTCAAACTCAACGCTTTTTTTACGATTATTTGTGTGTCAATTAGTTTTGTTTAATTTTGCACAGCTGTTTTGGGAATGACGACGTTGAATTCATGGTCAAGTTATGACTCCGATTCGTGAACTGATTTCGCAAAGAGAGGTTCGCATAAACCCAATTTGTGCGGGGTGAGTAATGGGTGATAAAGTGGCGTGGAAAGGGGAAAGAAGAGGAAAGAGGGAATATGGCAACGTTTTTTTCCTTTTAAACGTGTTCGAAAAACAACTTCAAGACAATCTACCTCTCTTCTCCGCTTGCTCTCTTCGCCCCCCGTTCTTCCGTGTATTTGTGTAAAAACAAGATTAAGACCCATTTTGGCAAAAGACGGGGAGTACAAAGGAGATGGGGAGTACAAAGCTAGATCTGCGGTTCGTTTCAAAACTCTTGTTTCTGTTTTTGTTTATTTTTTCCTGTTTTGCTCTTGCCTTTTTGCGCCGTTTTCCCGTGTTATGTATTATGCATCGCTCTCTTTATATCGCCAACCCGCCGCCGTCGACTCTTTCTATCGGGGGCTCCACATCTCTTGTTTTCGTCTAGGCGAGAATTTCCCTTTCATTTGAAAATGAAAATAAGTTTACTTTTCTTTGAGTCATGCTTTGGCTTATTTTTCTTCTACTACCTCTTCTTGTTTTCTTCTACTTGTTGCTAGTAGACTCCCCTCTTCGCCGCCCCGCTTTCTTCCACTGTTACTTGCCACTTGTGTTTTGGTCGCCTGGTTTTTCTGTTGTCTGTTTTCCGTTTCATTGTTGCGGTGGGTTAAGACAACAACAGAAGACTAGACAGAGAAAAAAAAAAAGAGTGTGTGGGCGGGAAAGAGAGAGGCAGAATGGGGATAAGTACGTTGTTTGACCGAGAGAAAAAGAGACGGAAAGCGGGAGTTATGGGGAGTAGACCTTCAGCTTGCTAAGTTTCCGATTTTGAAAATCCCAGATTCGCAAAAAAATGTGATACTACGCATAAAGCGTGCGCTTTAATTACTTTATTAATTTAAGCCAAGTGACCTGTTATGCGCAAATTTTTGCCATATTCCTGATCCTACAACACTTTGTTTATGGTTATCTCTCTATGTACACACAAAATAAATTAAATTCTTTTCAAAATCTGTTATTAAACACATAATTTAATTAAGCCAAAATTTGTTTATTTTTATTTAATTAATTAATTTATTTATTTATAAGACTCCAGTTGTTTTAGATTTGCAAAGATTTACTTTTCATACACATTTTGCAACTAATTTTATTATCCTAAAGATAAATCTTCTTCAGATATTTCCCATGTTAAGATCTGCAATTAAAATTGCCTCCCAATTTTCGGTTCATTTACTTTTTTGTTGATAATCTATACATATATATTTATAAATATAAATAAATAAATTGTCCAAACTTAGACTTTGCAATTATTTCACTCTAGATTAGTATTTTTATGATACTTTTCGCAATGGTTAAGACCTGTAACAAAAATTGCCACCCAGATTTCGATTCCTAGGCGTTTCTATATTATTATTTTCGGTCAACCCATTGCTTACATATGGAAAGATATAGTTATGCAGATGTGTATATATCTTATCCAGTGTGTGTTTCAGGTCTCGGCTCACGGGCTGTTAGGTAAGATCAGCGATTGTTGTTGCTGCTGCTCACTTGCTTGTGTCTCATAAACACGTTCACACAGATACACCGGTCTTTCTGTGAGTGTGTGTGAGATGCTGAAGACCTGCTGTTGTTGGTTTGTTTTTTTTGTGTATTTTTTTTTTTTAGTTGGACTAACTGGTTTATAAAGCCGTACCAATAAAAGCAACAACATCGCGATGACGACG